ACAAGACCGCTTTAACATGACCTACGTATAACAAAAATTTAAAAGTTAAAATTTGGCCCCTGGGACAAAACAAATGCCCATAGTTAAAGAAACACCCAAATATCATCATAGCATCAGAAACAGTCAGTGCTTAACATGTTGTTTACATTTGAGGTGCATAACGTCATCACGTAATTAGACTGTAAAAATCCCCTGGCCTGCACTCAAAGCCAGAGCAGTGAGTAAGTCTATGTCTGGTCTGTTGAGCTAAATTCATGTCTCACGTAACCATTCGAAAAGTGAGGGCTATATTCTTGAACAAGCACAGAGGTATTTTTAACCATCTCTTGAAAATGCTCCTCCATTTTGGCATATACGTGCCTCTGCAATACAAGAGGCCTAAACAGGTTTATCGGTTCTGCAGTACGGATTATTTTGGGAACCAGAATTTCCACTGGGATGCTAGGGTTCCCAACAACAATGTGATAGAGTCTCTTTTCCTCCAGGCTTTGCTGCAGGAAGCTGAGCAGATCTCGTAATCTGTGATCGAGATTCTGCGGCTGCCACATCGCAGGACGTTTACTCAACAGCAGATGCAAAAGCGCTGTCTTTATATGGTAATTAGAAAAGGCGCTTCTCCCAGTCAAAGCTGTCTGCTTTTTGTGCAAGAAAGAAACTATCTGAAGACAGTGAACATGACACGAATTAGTAGGAAGTCGTTTTGCTAGATGTTTAAGCAGGTTCTTTTCATAAACAGTTAGTGAGAGTTGCCAGTGAATGTCTGAGGAGTTACTAGTGTCAGATGGGAAATGAGAGATGAGGTAAGCATCCGTGTCCTCAAACTGAACGGCAGGGGTAATGTTAAGAGTGACGGTCTTTCCAGACCTAAATCTGATTTTCAGAGCTCCAGGGAAGTCTAGGTTTCGAAATGCCAGCTCAAAATCGTACTTATGAGAGATCTGGCCCCATGCTTTGCTCACTGAGATCTGGAACCATCTCATGATCTGATCTTTCGACAAATACGAGGTGTTCTTCTCACAGAGGAGCTCCACCAGTGTGTGTTCCTCAAGCCTTTCACTCTCATTTCTATTGTGAAGCAGACACAGCATATCATCACCCAGATTGGTTGAGCCACAAAGACAGTCTGTGCCATTTCCACCTGGTTTTATTAGTTTAATCCTTCCACATCCTTGCAAATCCAGTGGAATTTCAGTGGAGGGGTCGCACCCGAGCTGAAACTGGAACCTGAATGGCCGTGGAGGAGCAAAAGGCACAATGAGGTCACATGTAGGAGGTTTAGACACCCTCCAGGACTCAAACATGCTGCCTATGCCAACAAAGTCCTCGACTTCCAGGTCAGAATCTCGATCGCAAACACTTCTCAAAGCCTCGAGCAGATCATCCGCAAAGCCCTCGATAAACTCTCGCACTCTCCTGCTCTCGTGGATGAAAGGATGGAAGCGGGTCTTGCAGAAGTTACTTAGGACACCTTTATCTAGGGCTACAGTCTTGGCGCTGAGATATTCGGCACTGGAATCTCCAACTTCATCTTCCATGGAGTCTGGCATTTCAATAGGGATCATATCCTGCCTGCACACCTCAATTGTTAAGAAAATGACTAGGCAGAGAGTGCTCCAAAAGTACCAGCTGTAACTGTCCTGATCATCATCAATCAGAGCTGTTTCTGTTTGTGAGATCTCCTGTTCCAGGCGCTTCTGTTCGGCCTCCAGCTTCTCCTGGTGCTCCTTCATCCGGGTCAGGAGCTCGTCATCTTGCTCAGGGATGGTGGTGTTTTCATTAGGGAAGAGCAGCGGGTGGTTGAGGATAGCGGCTACTACCACCATGCAAACTCGTACAATAGCACCTTGCATCCTTCACTGTGCGTCTAGGAAAAAACACATTTCTCGATTAATGTGAGCTTCTTGAAAGGAAATGCATCTTCTAACTTTCGTGAAAACATGTCATTCTTCAGAGTGGTTATTTTTGAACTCCTGCACTCGGGAAGGAAGTCAGATAACCTCTGTTAAATATCGTAAATTAAACCAGCAAGATAACTGTATCCAGATAAAAGTATCTACTGTACTGAAAACAAGAATAAACAAAAAATTATATCAGGGAAAAAAAATCTGTTGATCTGTTAACTTGAGGTTTGGATAAAAAAAAAACTGGTACCATCTCATCTCTTTTTAAAGTATTTTGTCATTTTGCTTTGACTGACGCTTTGGAAGGAATCTTATATACACTGTGGAGGACGTTACATGATTGGTTTATTTATAGTGTGGCACTTGGAGTCTGAGTGATTCTTGGAATGAGGCAGATAAAATTCCTTATTTATACAATCTACTAGCTACTGGCACATTCCATGAATACGGTGCACTTTGTTGTCGTGTGATTTTTTTTTTAAGCATTAGAGACATAACTTTTGTCAATCATTTGAAGTGATATGCAATTCATAGTAGTAAAAATGTACTCATCTAATTTTATTTATCAGTTGTGTGACTTATTTGGACTCTTTATACACCATGATGAGAAGGCAAGCAAATATTCTCATTCAGTCTTATTTTCTGTTTATAGACTTCGTCAAGATTAACCGTACTACTTAAGTTATTATAAGAAAAAATGTACAAAACAAAAATGGATCTTTTAATACATTTGAACGGTTTGGCCATTTTTTTTTCTTTTCAAACATTTCAGTTTAAACTGCATTTAAACATTTTTGTAAATTAAACCACATAGAGAATAAAAAGAAAATAATTGAATGGCTGAAATTTTGCTTTGATCTCAACAAGTTTTCTGAAGGTTAACCACCTCCCCCTTTTCCAGCTGAAAGAAGGCGTTTCAATGTTCTACTACTTATATTGTTTAGGTCCTTTTTTTATTAGTGTAGCCTACATAAAACAAATTAAAGTCTATGTGGAACTGCACCATATCCCAAGTTAAACAGCAACAAAATAACAACAAAAAAAAGTTTTTAAATAGAGTGCATAATGATGGGTAGTTGACTAATAATGGATGAGCTCCAGTAAAGACGATAATTTAGAAATTTGTGTGGCGCTGCAAAGATTCCCACAGTCTACAAACAATAAAGGGCGGCGTAGGCTATAGACAACAACAACAATTTACTCATTAAACAGAGAGAAATCTACAAATAGTTACACACTATTACAGAGGAAATATTTGTTTACGCGTGACTGAAAGTCAATAGTAAGTTTATCAGCAACAGGGCGAGTGAATCGTGTAGTGGGCGGTGACGCAATAAACTAACGACTTAAAGGCAGAGCATCTAACAACTTCTCTTTTTAATCGACACAATTGCGTATTTTCTTAACGACGTCTTCGAAGGTGTTTTAACTCCTGTGGTTTACAAAACTTTAATTTTTTCATTTTAATCAGAGCTGTTACGGTGTCTTGAATAATCTATGAAACAACAGATGGCCACTACTCGCGCTGAGTCTTTGTTTTAGACCAAGAATAGAATAGTCATTTACACTGTAATCCAAGAGTTAAAGTCCAGCGTTGTTCATTGTTTCAGAACGATACTGAACCGTCACAAGTAAAAGCGCTGCAGTAGCCTACCGTTACTCTGTTTCCTCGTCTGCTCTCACATCCAGGAAGTGACCAATTGGGCCGTTTTCGCTCCTCTATAAAAAGCACGTGGGTCAGTCCCGCTCTTGAGTCAACATCATGTCACACGCACACACGCACTCTGGGGGTGATGAAAACATTAACTTTTTTTTTAGCAAAAAGGTAAGTTTTCACAAGTTATACTGACAGTGAATTTCATGTGCCTATAGTGTTAACTGTGGATGTACACGCAATTACAAAAATAAATGTAAAGCCCTGTTGAAGCATCATATGATATATGACGAGAGTAATATCTACAAACGGCGGTATTCAAATTAGGTTTTTCGACAACGTTGTTCTTTTTGTTGTACATTTTGTTGTTCTCTTCTTTTCTTTTCGGCTCTTGAAAAATGTGCAGCTGCGTAATCTACAAACGGCGGTATTCAAATGAGTTTTTTCGACAACGTTGTTCTTTTTGTTGTACATTTTGTTCTCTTCTTTTCTTTTCGGCTCTTGAAAAATGTGCAGCTGCGTAGTGACTACTAGGCGGACGACAAATACCCACACGAGGTCGCTACCTCACCAAAGTTCAGTAGTCTATTATACACAATACACCTAACAATAATACTTTGATATGAGAGTTTGTCAAATAACCCCAAAGCAATCATTCGTTTATAGGATCATTTTGAACTTTCATTTAACGTTATTTTCCTGAGGGTCACGCTATGCGGTAATTATTGAGACAAAAGTTACATCCATTCTCCAAACCGATTATAGCCTATTATTTAGGGTCACGGGAGGAGCGCTTTGAGAAAAATATGAAAAATGTAAATATGAAATATTTTACACCATCCGACTACTCAAAGGGAAGAAAGCATACACATCATGAATCTGTTAAGCGAGTTTTAACTCGTTTTAAAGTCAGGTATTCGTGCGCACATTTGGGTGTGGCCAAAGAAGCAGGCGCGCGTGCCCTACAGGTGAACCCATCACACTTCAGCAGGCAGAGCTCGCGAGATGCCTAAATATCTGTGAAACATTCATAAACGTGATCCATACAATTACTTTAAAATTAAGTTAACAATTTCTCAAGTGAGTTTTTTTTTTCGTTTGTCTTTTTCGCAGACTTGAACAGCGCAGATTTGAACAGCGTATTTGGCGGTCGAATACCAGATAAGTAGCCTCTTATCTGCAGCCTCTTATAGCGATAACCTAAACTAATTAATGGATCGTTTAAAGTTGGTTCTGCAATATTTCCAGTCAAATTCTGAGTCCATCTCCAATGGTATCTGTATAATATTGTCACTGATAAGCGTCAAGTTGTATACAAGTTTTGATTTCAACTGCCCCTGTTTACCGCAATACAATAAGATGTACGCACTAGGGGTCATGTTCGTCCCTCCAATTATATTGTTCCTTTTGGGAGTGTTAGTGAATCGTCATACTGGGGTGCTGATGGAAGAGTGGGTCAGACCCCTGGGCAAGAGGACAAAAAATCCAGCAGTGGTAAAGTAAGTTTGAAGCTAAATAATATTCATAATATTAGGCTACTCATTTATTATTTATATTAATGTTAATACTAATATTAATTAGTACTTATATGTACTTTAAATGTACTTACCTAAGAAAGTACTAAGGTAACTAAATGGGGGTAGGGTTAGGTTTAGGGGTAGGTTCAGGGTTAGTACAGTTATTACCTAGTTATTGTAATTACATTAATAAGTACAGTATGTACATGAGGAACAGGACTGTAAAATAAAGTGCTACCAAAACACTTATATTATCCTTCTCCTAGATTTTTGCTGTCATCGATGTTGCAACGTTCCTTTCTGGCCCCCATGGTCTGGATTCTGATGACACTCTTGGATGGAAAATGTTTCATCTGCGCATTTAGTATGAATGTAGACCCTAAATATTTTACAGGAATACCAAACAGCACTGGCCTAGAATTGATCAAGATCATGGCTAAGGTGCCTTGCAAAGAGGATGTCATCTTCAAAAACAGCAGTTTTCGGAAAGCTGTCTCACGCTATGTGCGTTGTTACTCTCAGGTGAATGGGTTTTCTCACATTTTTTGGTGCATTTTTTCAATGCTTACATTGTCTTTAGTCAAAGAACCGTGATGTCAATGCCATTTTTGACTTGATAGCTGCTAAGTAAGATTGAGCTGTACAAAGTTGATAGGAGCAGACCTTTAGCAAATCTGTAGGTGGTTAAAATCCTTTCATGCTTTGCATAACCAGATGATTCATCTATTCTTCTTGTACAATTGATCTTCTTCTCAAAGGCAATAGGCTGGTCGATCCTCCTCTTCTTCATTTTTTTGGGCGCTGTGGGTCGTGTCCTAAAGCCTTGCTTCAATCACGCCACTTTTCTGCAGACACGCTACTGGAGCAATTACCTGGACATTGAGCAGAAGCTCTTCGATGAGACCTGTGTCCTTCATGCCAGAGATTTTGCCAGAAAATGTGTGGTGCAGTTCTTTGAGAGTATGCGAGAAGACGTGACTGTGAGAATGCCCCTCTCAAGTGCATTCAGACCCAGCACAATCCATAATGAATATGAAGAGGAAGAAGAGGAGCGTCTGCATGGTATAACCAGACAAGATCAGGTGGATCACTTGCTGCAAACCTGGTACGAGTGTAAACCAGAGCTGGACGTGACCAGGATGGCCTATAAGCCCAAAGTTTGTATCACTTGGGAAGATATCAATGGAAAGGCATTGTTCTCTGAAGTGTAAAACTGAGGGGAAAAAAGATCATACCTCTTAAACTAGAATTAATGTAATAAGTGACATGTTCATGAAATATTAATAAAGATAATGAAAAATGTTGACCCTAGAAATGTAATAATTTGAGAACTAATTGACTAATTAATGTTAATTCAGAAGCAAATCTTAAAAAGCTTGCATGCCGGGTGCAATGGATATATAATAATGTATAATTTCTGTCTTCATCAATGTTGCAATGAGCCCTCCAGGCCTGGTGCAATGATGCCTGGATGGAGAATTTTTCATCTGCATAGAATGTAGAACAAAACATTTTTGAATTGTAATGTTACTATCAGATTATTGTCAGTTCAGAAAGCCTTGTTTTAACCTTCCTCAAGCGCTTGCATGCTGGTGCATTTGAATATGCTGGGATTTAGTTTGTGTATTTTTGCATGTCTCTTTCCACACACATTACACAACAACCTCATGGATATGGCTTGGATGCAAATGACTACAGAACCCTGGCAACACCTGAAAAAATATGTTGTATATGTATTTGTCTGTGTATATTGTGTATGTATATTTATTAATAATATTGATTAATAAAAATATGTTTATCATCTTAGCTGCATGGCAGTTAGTCCACTGCGTTCTGTGTTGGTAGTCCATGTTTTGAAATGTACTTTTGCCTTCACCTTTTGAGTAAGGAATATTTTGGCTTGTAGTTATGTATTATACTTGACAGTAAACAGTTTAAGCACTGGACAATGCGAGGACAAAAATCACACCCAACTATTTAGTTGAGGACGTGTTAGAGCCTCTAAAGGAGGGGCCTGTCACTCATGTGCATCCATGCATTAAAGCGACCTGGTGAACCTTTGTTCACTTTGGACTCAACTCTGCTCCAGCAGTCTTGCTCTCTTTTCTCTCTGACAAGATAGAATAAGTCTTTGATTATTATAATAAGATTTATCATTCCTTATTGCTCAACTGCACTAATTTGATCTACTATTTTGCTCTAAAAGGTGAACTGACTTTTTAAAAATGGATAAGTTTCGAATTATGGTCCAGTTTTTGCAAGCCAACCAAGAGTCGTTCATGAATGGCATCTGTGGGATCATGGCTCTGGCAAGTGCTCAGATGTATTCCTCTTTTGAGTTCACCTGTCCTTGTCTTCCAGACTACAATTATGCGTATGGAACCGGCATTCTAATCGTTCCGCCAATATGGTTCTTTTTACTTGGATATGTACTTAACAACAACATATCAGTGTTAACTGAGGAATGGAAGAGACCGGTTGGAAAACGCAGGAAAGATCCGGCGGTTTTGCGCTACATGTTCAGCTCCATGACGCAGCGCGCTCTCATCGCTCCAACTGTATGGGTCGCCGTGACTTTAATGGATGGCAAGAGCTTTTTGTGTGCTTTCAGCGCCACGACGGATTTATCTGAGTTCCTCAACGAGAGCCATCAAAGCTTATCCGAAAAGGAGCTTCTGAAATTACAAGCAAGGATTCCATGCAAAGACGTATTTGATGGGCATGAGATTATTTCCAGAGAAGCAGCCACTAGGTACATTCGCTGTTTGTCACAGGTAATGACATTATTGCACAACGTAATGATGAAATGGGGGTTTCTAAATTATCTTACCTATTAGCCTACTATTAACGCTGGGTAAAGCAATATTTGTCCTTTTGTAAAATTTGGCAAACGTAATTTTAAAAGACTGTAGCACGCACCTGGGTTGTTATTATACTGTCAAGCGTGAAGGGATGCGGTGCTAAAGTTGTTTATCAACAAACAACCAACCATAAAATGCTTAGTGCTTACCTCATTAAATATTCATACGCTTATAGAAACTTCGACGCGCTGAGAGAAAATGAAAACGTCAAACGCGTGGAGAGACAAGCATTTGAGAAGAAATTAAAATTTATTTTTGTGTTTGTGCGTTTCATACGATTTGAAAACAAATTTTCACAGATAGCCTACAAGAGGTTAGCTACTAAAACACGACAGGTCCAGGATTAATTATGAACCCAGGTAAACTATAGACCAGGGATTTAAAAAGTATTAGGCCTATAGATGAGAAATGATGGCTATGACATTCAGTTTGATAATATGTAACCTATGGGCCTATAAACTAGGCTAGGCTATATATTATAAAATATATCAAACGATATATTGTTTTATTTTTAAATTAACCTGTTGCAATGTTTTTTTTTAGGCCTGTGGATGGACCTTTTTAATGGTAATAACTATAGCAGCCTTCTTGATAAGGGCGATAAGACCTTGTTTTACACAAGCCGCTTTTCTTAAAACCAAGTATTGGTCACACTACATTGATACAGAGCGCAAACTATTCGACGAAACATGCAAAGAGCACGCCAAGAGCTTTGCTAAGGTCTGCATACAGCAATACTTCGAGAGTATCAGTGGTGAAATTGTTCCACAGTTCCAGCTACCCACAAAGAAAGGGAAAGGCAACAAAGATGATGATGGGGAAAACCAGAAGAGTGACGAGGAGAAGATTCTTGGGATCCGTAAAGAAGAAGACATGAATAAAGTCCTGTGGAACTGGCATACATGTAAACCCGCACTATTCCTGAACAAACACACTCAAAATATGAATATGAATGGACATGCACACTTGGATACACTCACCCTCTCAGATGAGCACTATACTCACACACCTATGAAAAACACAGCTGTGGCATACTACTCCAAAGTCTGACTTCATGGTTTAATCTTAGTCTGGTATAGCAGTACTCACTGTCAAGATCTCATTTATATTTATTGCATGCCATTTCTTATTTAATATCCTCCTGAGACTCAGTAGTCATTCAATCGAGTCACTGTTGTAAACGTGTTGTTTGTTACTATAAATAAATGAGAACATAAATAATAGGATAATATGGGCTTTTCTGTGATAACGCAAAGCAACATGCAGGTGTGACCAATATGACAACAATAATATAATGACGATGACGATATTAATAAGGAATGTCACTCTTTTTATCTACTTTTTATGCAACAAATTAAGGTTTACTAAAATTAAGTTATAGCTAAAAGTTAAATTCAGGAGGAGTTTGTTAATGTAATCAGTCATAGGATATCAAGGACATATCAGCAGCTGCTAACGTCACTCCGGAGGTAATTTTTACAGTATTTAGCCTCGCCCACTAACAGCAAGTTGCTATGGCTGCTAAGTAGTTTATCACATCGTAAATTATGTTTCCCACAGTCACAGACAATATTATTGTCCAACAGAAGCTGCCACAGCAGTTTGCAACTGTATAGCTTGTTTAGTAGGCCAGACTTTTGAGTTTACACCACCTGGTGGTCTTAAGCTCAAGTTTCACTTGCAAAAATATTTAGTTATGCTCTTCAGTTTAAAGCAGCAGCAGGGGCGATTCTAGGGTTTTCATTTTAGGGGGGCTCAGCCCCCAGTGAGGGTATAATAATAATAATAGCCTAATAATAATAATAATAATAAAAAAATTTTTTTTATATATATATATATTTAAATGTTTGATTAATAGCTATAGCCCCCCTAGCCCCCCTCTAGCGACGCCCATGAGAAATTTTTTTTTATATATATATATATTTAAATGTTTGATTAATAGCTATAGCCCCCCTAAAAATGGCCTAGCGACGCCCATGAGCAGCAGTATTTATTACTAACTCATAATTGATTACCTATATGATTTTATCTTAAAGCAGTGGATTTTTGGGTTCCAGGGCCCTATAGGAAGCTTTAGCAAACTTACAAGAGGGCCTCAAGATGAATTCAAATGTTTTAAAATAAGACAAAAATAATTTTAGAATAAGGTAAAACAAACAAAAATCAATACATTTGTTGTTTAATTTACCCCTAAATTTAGGAAATTCTAAATGTAATTATTTAAATTTGTAACTAGGCCTAGTTACTTATTTTATGTATGGACACTATCCCAATTTCTGTAAATTGGCTTTGAATATTATTTTGGACAGTGGATGTAGTCAAAAAGGTTAAGAACCTCAATCAGTGTCACTTCAGAACTCATTTACTCTCCTGTGGCCTGCCATGGGGAATCCGTTTCATGTCCGCGATGATCTCTTCATTCCAAGATGTTCTGTGCACTTCAATGTTCCTATTTTGTATGTCTCCCTAATTAAACACACCTAGTTTAATTCCAAGACCTGCGAAAGGAGTGTCAGATAATTGAGACATGCAAAAAATGTAACTGTAACCACTGTCATATCCATTTTTACTGGGTCTCTCTCAGGAGGCATTTTGAACAATACTTTGAATGACATTTATATGTAGAGAGAGAGAGAAAGATGTTTGTTTGTTTTTTTGCGCATGTGTCTGATCTTTGTCATTTACTTTAGCCCAACCTGTTTTAGTTAAATGCTTGTTAGTTCCACTGGGGCTGAAACCAGATTGTAATTGCTGTTGGTGATTCACTGCTGTATGTACATAACAGACAGAGCGAGGGAATGATCTCACTTCTTGATCACAACAAACACAGCTACATACAGACAGGTTTTTGTTTTGTTTTTACGATCTGCTTCTGCTTGTACATATTTTTAAAACTCTGTGGATGTTCAGCAAGACCATTTGTACTCCCTGGCGATGAAATGTAAGTCTTCATTTCAGATTTTTTTTGATTTTTCAGTTGATATTTGGTTTTTGGTAATTAATTTGAGTGGCACATAGAGGCTTGAGGAAACTCTGTCCAATTAATTGCTTTTATATGAACTGAATGTACGACTACATCATTAATTTAGAAATTGTATAATGAAGCTGTTTTTGTTTTGCCCCTCTTTTTATGTATAACTGCGTCAACCATAAAGGACTTACTTGCACATCTGTCTTTGTCAGGTTTTAGGGTTCATTTACAGAGACAATAATCATCGTCAGCGAAAAAGCAACGGAGAAAGAGAAATACACCTATATTAAAATAAGATGTCTGCTTTCCTCTCAGAATACATCAAATTTATAGCACTTTACTTCAAGAGTAAGGATGTCATGGTCTTCAATGGCCTCATTGGTTTAGGAACAGTGGTTGGTCAGACAGCATACAACATCTTAGCTTTCAACTGTCCATGTTTACCAAAGAAGAATTACCTGTACGGCCTGGCTGCCATTGGTGTACCAGCCCTGGCTTTCTTTGTTATTGGGGTGATGCTCAATCGAAATACCTGGGACATTGTGTCAGAGTGTCGGACCAGAAGATGCATGAAATTTTCGGTGACTGCTGCTTTTGCTCTGCTGGGCTCCATTGTGGGCAGAGCAGTCGTTGCCCCTGTCACCTGGACTGTAATTTCCCTCCTGAGAGGAGAGGCGTATGTCTGTGCTTTCAGTGAGTTCATGAACCCCTCATCTTTGGACAACATATTTTTAACTACACCTGGTCCAGAGATCATGGCCCGGTTTCCATGTAAAGATGTACCTGCTCTATTTATGAACTACTCGGGAGAGGTTGAACGCAAGCTAAAGTATGAATCCCAGGTACTTGTCATTTTTCATAGTGTTGTTACAGTCCCTAATTGCATCAACACTTCTGATATGTACAAACTTCATTTTTTCCCCTTCTTCATCTAGCTTTTGGGCTGGTTGCTGGTGGGAATCATCTCTCTCGCTGTCTTTCTGCTCCTCTGTCTGAAAAACTGCTGCTCTCCGCTTGGCTATCAGCAGGAGGCATACTGGTCCCAGTACTGCTCCAGCGAACAAGCTCTTTTCCAGCGTACGGCTGAAGTACATGCTAAATACCATGCGGCTGAAAATGTCAAGAGTTTCTTTGGCTTTGTGGCCTTGGAAAATCAGGAGAAGCAGCTTCTAGCAGACTGCAAGGGAATCAAGAGCGTCATTCCTAGACTGGAGTGGAACCGCGTCACTGGGGTTTACATGTACAGAGAGATCGATGACACTCCCATCTACAGCCGCTTAAACAAATGGACCATGTATACAACTGAACATGACTGTTAAGAAATTGACAAAGAAATGGACATTTTATTCTTTGAGTCTGACAAATTAGTGTCTAATTAATGAATAATACTACACACCCAAAAACTAATATCTTTGGAATCAAGAAACACCCAAGAAATGTGTGCCACTCAGACCATAAAGGAAAAAAAAGTTACATAACAAATAATTGTTATGTACAGTATATGAAATACAAAAAGCTTGTGATTATTTTTATATCTAGTGCAAATATGTTGTTTTTTAAAGAAATCAGATAATTCTTCTGAGAAAAAAAATTATGTTTAATATTCATATAATAAATGTTATCTATTTTGAATATCAATGTTAGAAGCACAAAGCTAAATGATTATAATAATAATGTAAAAAATCATTAAAAACTTAATAGCAAACAAAGAAACAATATTTCTGGACAATGCTATATTGAGTCTTGTTAAAGGCTGTATTGATGATGGCTGTTGGATCATTCAAACCTGCAACCTTTCAAAAACCAGCTCAGTCTTCTGTGCCACAATCCACAAATTTGGCTTTTTTTCTAAACAGACATCAAGTTGAATGTCAAAACATAGTCTATGCATTTCTGAGATGGCCACTGTTGCTGTTAAAGGCAAGGTGTTTTAAATTGTCAAATGGATATTTTGTCAGACATAATTTCAGTTTTGGTGAAGATTTGCAGGAGGAATTCTACAAAAATGTATCAGTTTTACAGTATAGTGTACAATTTGCTTTGCTATACTGGACATTGAGACCCACAATATTATGGACATTGAATTATAAAAGAATTTTATTGATGTATTTTTAGATATAAAAATATTTTTCTGAAATGATTTACATTTAGAAATATGTGGAAATATTACGAAGTTTATAAACAGGGCCTTAACAGAGGCCAGAGACATGTGAATAGATGCGCTAGCAGAGAAAACACTGTACAGGCACAGGAAGATCACTGTCCGCAAAACTGGAAATGTTCGAAGAAAATCCTAAATATTGAATTGGGGGTGGGGGCTAATATGAATGTATCTTTGAGAAGAACTGACTGTCTTCAGAAATGTTTCGATTGCATTTTCTTATCATCTTACATCTGTATAATGCACATTATTGTAGTGTTCATAAGCACAGCGCTGCTTTGTTAACAGTGGTAAAACAATTTGCTTTGTTTACAACAGCTAAATGCTATATCGCTGCTGTTCCATAAGCGCCACCTGCTGGCAGAGAGAGAATTAGCATTTTTTTACTTTCACCAAGCTAAAGACCATTGTGTTTGCTTTAAATGTTGAAATTAATAATTATTTACATTTTAGAGTTGTTGGGACAGATTTTGCGGGAAATTGATTACAATCATTCATTCATGCAAGTCGAAGTCATATCCATAAAAAGAGAGTAGCTCCGGCTACTCTGGTGCATGTAGGCCCTATGGTGTAAAGCTAAGAGTTTGTTGTCACAACGAGTGAGAAATATATATAATAATCATGACCATGATGAAACATGCAAAACAGCAAAAAAAAAAAAAAAGTAGGCTTGGCCTTTTTTAGACCTGGAGAGAACTGACCCATGGCTTGTTTCTTACTCAACAGGGAAGATATTTTATTTAACCAATGGATAGCAATATAGCTCTCCAACAGCAGGAGTTTATTAGTGTTAGCTATTGTAAGGAGTCATTTCATTATGGTTTGCTGTATAGTGCATGCTGTGAAAGTTATTTTCAAGGATGGACCGTGTAAATGATAAACCTATTGGTTAGCCAAATTAACAACATTCAACTGTCAGATTTGTCAATTTGCGACCCATTTAGTGTAGACTGGATTATTTCTTGTGCCTGTGTTTTGGTTGCGTTTCTTCCACAGAGGCTCATCTGACTTGTAAAGTTGTAAAGCACAACCAAAACATGTTCTTCTGCAAGGCGCGTGCAGTTTTATTTACTAACCGCCAGCTTCAAATTAAGTGTTACAAATGCTATTTTTACTGAATAGTATGCAGAAAATGATCATGCTTCCTGAAAGGTATTACTGAATAATTGTCCAATAAAATATTATTAAAAATATAATATTTTTTTGTAATGAAAATTTTGACGTTACCAGCTCACACAGCAAGATTTATGTTTGTAACGAGTTAATGGCTCATTTAATTTAAAAAAAGACACTTAGTGTGCCATTAAAATTGTAGTTTAAATGATTTTTGGTCATTTTTAATATTAATGTTATGGTTTTGTTTAAAATTTTGACGTTACCAGCTCACACAGCAAGATTTATGTTTGTAACGAGTTAATGGCTCATTTAATTTAAAAAAAAGACACTTAGTGTGCCATTAAAATTGTAGTTTAAATGATTTTTGGTCATTTTTAATATTAATGTTATGGTTTTGTTATTGTGAAATCATTTTTTGCCCTGAACATCAAAATAAACAAACAAACAAACAAATAAATAAATACATTTGATTCAATTAGAAAAAGTAACTACGGTACATTAAATTTTGAGAGAAATTCTAATTATATACATAACCAATGAATGCGTTTTTACTGTAGCATTTTGCGATTCTTTTTCCATTTTTAGTGCAACTAATTGTTTTTATGACTGGGAATGAAAATATTTGTTGTGAAGTATGAAGGAATATGTATGTGGCCAATATGTAGCTTCAAAATATACACCATACTGTAGTAAAAATAAAATAATACAAAAACGCTAAATTTGTCAACGTAACACTTCTGTCACTAGAGGTATTTCACAAAGAGCCTTAAGTGGTGAAAAAAATACGAGATGCGAGAATTTTTTTTTTTTTTTTACAAAACTTTTGTGTTAAACCATTATATAGAACAGAAAATGCTTCATTAAAGGGGTCATGAACTGAGAATTCAAAATTCACTTGATCATTTTAAATTAAAGAGATCACTGTACTATTAAAACATCCAGTAAGTTTCAGAACTCAAAATGTTCTTGTTAGTCTAAAAACAGCTTATATTGAAGCCAATCTGCCAAAATGACAGGTTGTGGAATGTGCCTCTTTATGACATAATAGTGTGGCTAAACGAGAGAGGCGAACACACTACACAGAAATCAAACGATAAAGATGGCTCCGAAGACAACAGGACGCTGTACAGTGTTGTAAAGTTGTGGGAAAACACAGTCTTTGCATTGCCTTCCTTGTGATCCCAACGTTAGGAAAGAGTGGATGAACTTTATTTTTAATGAAGTTCAAGACCGAGTCAGTAGTAACTTGGTCCTTTGTTTACTTCATTTTATCGTGGATTTGTTTACAAGCAAGGCACAATTCGACGCAGGGCGCAAAATTCCTCCCATCCTGTATTTTTTCCACCAACATATCGGGCTCCGTAGTATTTTGACCCACAGTTGGAGTAAGTTATATTTTATATTATTTTAAAATCTATTTTTTAATTGTCATAACACTTAAGGACCAGAAAAAAGCTTCAGTCTAGTCTATTTTTGAAGAGCCGTTTTGTGTTAACAAATGTTTGTTGCTAGTATACTACCAGTAATAATACCTTGTTTTCATCTTTGTTTTATCTCTTTTTTTTGGTTCCAACATGCAATATAATTATAGTGGGAACTAATTTACAAGACATTTTTTACTTAATGTGGGGAGGTGATTTGATTTATGACGTTGCCCAGCTTGTTTTAGTTAAATGCTCATATTTTCCACTGGGGCTGGAACCAGATGAAGTTCCTGCTGATGATTCAGTGCTGCATGCACACAACCGACTGAGCGAAGGAAAGACCTCACTACTTCAACACAACATGAGCTACCTACAGAAAACTCATTTGTTTTAAGGACTTCTGTTGCTGTCTGCATTTGTTTGTACATATTTGTAAAACTTTATGACTGTTCAGGGAGACCATTTGTACCTCATTGCAATGGAATGTAAGTCTCCGTTTCTAAATGGTTTTTAGTTTCTAATTCGGGCTCAGTGTCGTGCTGAGACTTGCCCAAAGGGTCTTTGTTCAGAGAGCTTTTCTGCATGAAATCGGTCTTTGAATTTAATGTTTATCTCATAATCTTCTGATTTGTACACATGCATATTTTTTTATGTATCTACGTTTCTCTAGCTTTTAAGAGTCTGTTTCTGCTTTTCTGTATGATGGTGTCAGATAACAAAGGAGGACTCTTCACTCTTCTGTCAGTGTTTTAGGTTTACTTTACAGAGACTCTCTGAAAGACTTTGTTTAATCTGCAGTAATTCACATTGAGAAAATCAGGACACGATGGCTGCACTCATCTCAGAAAACTTCAAATTTGTCTCGCTCTTCTTCAAGAGTAAAGATGTCATGATCTTCAATGGCCTGATAGGTTTAGGGACAGTAGCCAGTCAGACAGCATACAATATTTTTGCATTTAACTGTCCATGTTCACCAAAGAAGAATTACCTGTATGGCCTGGCAGCAATTGGTGTACCAGCCCTGGCTTTCTTTGTTATTGGGGTGATGCTCAATCGAAATACCTGGGACGTTGTGTCAGAGTGCCGCACCAGAAAATGTCAGAAATTATCACTGTCTGCTGCTTTTGCTCTGTTGGGCTCCATTTTGGGGAGAGCAGTTGTTGCCCCCATCACTTGGTCAGTTATTTCCCTCCTGAGAGGAGAGGCGTATGTTTGTGCTTTAAGTGAGTTTGTAGACCCCTCTTCTTTGGATCATTTCCCTCCTACTACAAAGACTCCAGAGATCATGGCCAGGTTTCCGTGTAAGGATATACCTGCTCCATTTATGAACTACTCAAGAGTGATTGAACGCCAGCTAAAGTATGAATCCCAGGTATTTATCACTGCAATTTAGTCTTGTTATAGTCCTTGATTAAAAATACACTTCTAATATCATTGGGCATTTACTCAAATGTATGAAATGTATAATCTCCTCTTTTTTTTCTTTTCTTTATCTAGTTGTTGGGCTGGTTGCTGTTGGGAATCATCTCTCTCGCTGTCTTTCTGCTCCTCTGTATGAAACACTGCTGCTCTACCCTTGGCTATCAGCAGGAGGCGTACTGGACCCAGTATCGTTCCAACGAGCAAGATCTTTTCCAGCGTACGGCTGAAGTACATTCTAAATACCATGCGGCTGAATGTGTCAAGAACTTCTTTGGCTTTGTGGCCTTGGAAAATCAGGAGAAGCAGCTTCTAGAAGACTGCAAGGGAATCAAGAGCGTCATTCCCAGAATGGAGTGGAACCGCGTCACTGGGGTTTACATGTACAGAGAGATTGATGACACGCCCATCTACAGCCGCTTAAACAAATGGGACATGTATACAAAAGAGAACAACTGTTAGGTGAATGAAAAACATTTTGTGCGTTCTATTTTAAATATGAATTTTATACATTCAGAATTTTTCATTTATTGTTTTTGTTGTTGTTGTTCCTTCATGGTAAACATGCTTGAGTATTATGTTGATATTTGTCACTGAAGGCTGTAATTCAGTGTTCAGTTTCTTCATTTTTTAAGGATAATATGATCTGTTTCAGCTTAGTAGAGAGGAGATTGGCAGCTTAAATGGTCATATATTGATAACACACAATGAACTATTTAGCATCTGTTTTAAGAGACATGATTTACTCTCAGGTTAAGATGACCTCTTGTTACACTTTGCTAAGCAATAAAGTGCATCTGACAAATTAGTGTCTAATGAATTAATAATAATGCAGACTAAAACATATTTGCTATAACAAAACACAAAGTATGTTTTTCCATAAAGATGGAAAAAATGTTATTAACTACTACTGACATGTAATTTATGTAATTTAAGAGAGTTGAGTTGAGAATGACCTACAAAAGTACATTAGCATCATCACATATGAAACCATTGTGATGAACAGATGGCAAGCACGCATTTGTAATGCTATCTACCATTAAAGAAATGCTTCCTGTACAAATACAAGCAAGTGAAAAAACAATATACTAAAATGTATTTGAAATACATTTATTTCATGCTAAGTATACTACAAATACATTTACATATTTATATACTTAATAAAAATACCCTGCAGTACCATTTTGGCATACTAAACTGGTATACTACATTATACTATATATAATATATTACTTTTTTGCTAGAGGAAAAAACCTGCTCAGGCAAATGCAGATACAGCCTATACTCTTAAAAATAAAGGTTCTTTAGTGGCATCTATGGTTCCATGACGAACCATTTACATTAACTTTTCATTGCACATTAGGTTCTTTGTAGTGGAAAAAAAAAATCTTTATATTAAAATGTTAATCACTGTAAGAACAAAATGGTTCTATTAAGAACTGTTTCAACTGCCTTGAAAGCTAGAACGGTGTTTTGAACTTGATTTGTGCAGGGATAGGAAGCCATGGAGGGGGTGCAGCAGAGATGTGACATGGGAGTACTTGGGAAGGTTGAATATCAGCCGGGCTGCAGCATTCTGCATGAGCTGCAGAGGTTTGATTGCACACACTGGGAGGTTGGCCAAGAGTCATTGCAGTAGCTGAGACAATAGCAAATTGGGGCCTATACCACAGTCTGGCAAATGTTTTGCAGGAGGAATCTGCACGATATGACTGTTGTTAGTATGGAGGTTGCAGTTGACAGCACATTGTCCAGTGTGACACCAAGGTTCTTGGCTTTCTGTGTGGGTGAGATGGTCGAGTTGTCTGTTGAAATGGCAAGGTCTTGGCAAGGGTGCTTCTTGGCTTGAAGGAACAACAGCTTGGTTTTTGATCATTTCAGCTTCAAATGATGGGCATTCATCCAGGCAGAGATGATTGCCAAGCATGCAGTGATATGTGAGGGTACCTGGTTGTCAGAGGGTAGGAAAAGAGAGGATCAATAGAGCATTGTTTAAATAAAATTGCCAGTTTAACAGAAGCCATGAGAGGTGATCACATGATAATTGATTTGGTGTACAGGGAAAATACTGATCTGTGTTCAGTGGGGTTGTTGATGAGGTGAAGTGAATCCTTTCATGATATTTGATCATGGGCCCAGTTAACTGAAGCTGAGAAAGATTTGTTGGTTCACAGTTGCTGGGTTTACATCCAGTGCATTAGAAGCAAATTTAACAATTAAATTCTTAAATGTGCATCAAAAAGCTCACGTGACTGCAAAATTTGCTCAGAGAAGAGAAGAAAATAAAAGATTTTATTTTCATATGTTTAAGAAATATTCCTGGCTGAATTTAGTTCACTAGTTAACCACAAGGTGTAAACAATATGTTAACATGATTTTTTGAAAATTGCTTATTGCTATTCTGTGTAAGGTTACATCAATTTTTGCAACTTTGTTGGCATGACAATGCATTGCCATAAACAAAAATAGTCTAAACACCTTTAAGCACAAATAATACTCAAAACCAAATAATTTCTAAGAAGAATTCAGTTAATTCTTTAAATTAATAATAATTTAAGTAGTTTCATAAAATTACAAGCTTCACATTTCTTTTAAATCATCCAAACATTTGCCCCGTTTCACTTTAATTGTGAAAAAGGGTAAAAATGCCTTGACACTTTTTTTTTATTAAAGACAACAAGGCCAAACATTTTTGTCAGTCAACATTATGCCACAAATGCCATCGATTGAGCTGAACTTGACATCTTCAGGGAGATTTAGCAAAAGCACCTTTTACATAACACACGGATATTGTGCAACATGAATCACCAGTTGCATATTTCCTGTCTGTACATGAGTTGATCTCTTGACTAAAACTGTGTAATTAGCTGTGTTTTGTTTATTTGTTTGTTTTGTTATTTATTTATTTTTGCAGTGACGAAATTACTGGCGTCACTGCTTCTGTCACATGTTCTTTTTTCATTTTTTTGCAACACAGTAGGGTTGCTCTCAGAGTATCCTTAGATTCTATTCTATTCTATTCTATTCTATTCTATTCTATATTTTCCCTCTTGCTTCACACTCTCACTGTTTTCCCTCTGTAGTCTCTTACTGTTTTGGTGACTGCCAGTCAAGCAAAGAGAATCAACCCTCATTCCCCTCCCAGCCTTGTCTTACACAGACTCATCAGGGAGAGTCTGACTCGGCCTGCCTGTCTGCTCGCCTGGCCACTGTCACCTCCTAATAGCCTTCAGCTGGAGAGAAGTAGGATGAAGAGAGAGAGCACAGGATAGAAAGGGAGAGGGGGAGAGCGAGGAGGGGGCGGGTGAAAGGAGAGCTGTGATCCAGACAGCGAATCACATGAGCTGAGATCTGTTTACAAACTGAGCAGGAGAGAAGTCATCGGCACCATTACGTGGAGGCAGGGCTGCTGGAAAAGGCGACAGGAAACACACAGGAATCTCATCACTTTGTCTGGAAAATGCATTTTATCCTTTGTGTCTTTGCAGCGGAGAAGCCAGACCAGATGGTGTGAGGAAGACACAGCTTTGAATGGGCTGCATTCACAAGCTCTCGCTCTGACGGCTGTGTGCCACCGCTCTTCCTCTTCCTTTGTTACCGGGGAAAACGCTTGATTGTAGCGTGAGGGTGATAATCTTGAGCGAGAAGACTAGAGGAAAGTGGCTGACGGCAAGAAGGGGTGAGCCTTGTGACAATGTTTTGAAGATAGACAAAGAAATCTGTGACTCTTTGTAATGTACATTGTCTCTCTCACTGTTTTGTTATCGTGACTCTACAGAGAGGTAAAAAAATGAAAAAAAGCCAGTGACAACAACTTCACGTCAAGCGGAGGTAGATGGTGATCCATTGTCGATGTCAAAGACACATTGTGAATCTTTCATATTCTTTGCTGCTGCTTGGTTTGGATCATGATGCTGGAAAAAAAGAGCACATGGTGTTCTTTTAACTTGCCTGTGGTTGAACAAAACATTTTAGATACCAAGAAGTAGGTGTTGATATTTGTTCCCGTGTTGACACAGGTTTCAACAATGACTGACTTGGCTTTGTAAATGTTTCAACACAAAGAAAACAAAATCACCCTGCCTTCCTCCATACGCCAGTGAGGAGCTGGTGGGTGATCGTAATGTGTTAACCAGAGGCGCTGAAGATTCAAAGCCGTGTTTTGTGGTAGGAGTTTTGGGTGTGTAAAACTTGTATTATTCATCTGGTTTTGAGTGAGGGGATCGGCCCACTCCTTTGACCGGGTTTCAACACTGTCTCCTTGGTCACAAGTTACTGGATCGTTTGGTATAGCGGAGCAAGCACCTATCCAGTGGTGTAACGGTGAGTATGAATCATAACCCCTTCCTCCTCTTCCCTTCATTTCTAGTGGCTGCATAATCTGGACAGCTTCATAACCATGTGTTATTCACAGAGCCCCTGACCCTCCCACTGGCTTTCTATCAATGTTTAACTAAAATCCTCCTTATATTACTTCCACCCCCTCCTTCACCTGAAAACCCAAGCCTTTTTACCTTTCTCCTGATTGGCACACTCTCTTCCAAGACCTGAACTTGTGAGACACACTATGTGTCTGTATCTATTGTGCGAGACACAATATTGTGTGGTTGTTTGGCAGTGTTCGACCCTGAGGTCACTTATTATTGTTTCCCCCCAAATGGTGCTTCCTGCCTGGGTTGTTGAGGCCTTCACATTTCTTGCCTCCCCCTCAACCCCTCACAGAAAGACCAGATGGTGGCTTTATGGCAGAAAGGGTGCACCACTAGTGTTTGTCTTTCTGCACAGACAATTGGCCAGGCTTCACTCTCGTTGCCAAACGCTCTCTTGCTCTTTCTTTTGAAAATGCAAATCTGTATACAGTAAGAAAATTAATGGTTTAATGGTTGAATGATATTAAATTCATTACTTGCATTTAAAAGGCTTAAAATTCCGAAACACAGTATTTATAACACTAAATACTGTTTAAATCATTGTTAACCTGTTTATGTAGTACATTGTCACCCCATTAGGAACTACTGGCCCTCAAGCACCATTTATTTCTGTTTTCAGTTGTAGTTGATTGATATAGCTAAATCTTAGCATCTTTTTACCTTTTCTTTAACTCCACTTTCAAAAAGGAGCACTGACATGTTTATTGCACTAAATAAATACAGTTTTAATTTATTAAAGCATACTAAAGAGCATATGTATAGCATATACTGTATATAACAACAGCATTCTTTTTCTACTGTGTGTGTGTGTGTGTGTGTGTGTATATATATATATATATATGTGGAGCGTTTCTTGTCTGCTTTTGTTTCGGCAGACAGTGTGGATGTCTATTCTTTATGCTAACAGTGTTTGGGTCTATGGCAGTCTGAAAATACTGACCATCATGCTACAGAAAACATTTATATTTTATCAGAGAGCCCAGAGCAATATTATTTCTACCAAATTATAGAGGCAACTGATTCGTTTTGGATTCAAAGATGACCGTTTCAATCCCAGATACTAAAAGCCTTGTAACATCATGCTGACAGGTTTTGTGTTGCTATTTACTTGTATTGCCTTAGGATATAGGTTAAACCATTGTTGTCTAAATAATGTGTTAGGATTAGGTCTAAATAATGTGTGATGAAATAGCTTGAACCCGAAAGTCAATATGGTACACTTAACAAGGACTTTTGAAAGACTTCTACAAGACTTGATTAAGTAAATAAACAGCTAGCTAGCTAAATAAAAACACAAGATGACAGGTTTTTTTCCATCACAACAAAGACAAAGATATAGTAAATTTCCTGCAGTACACTACATGAAAATTCAGTTGAATTTTGTATGTGCACATTAACAGCCGTATTTTGCTGTGATTTAATAATCAGCCATCACAACAAAGACAAAGATATAGTATGGTTACATCAAATTTCCTGCAGTACACTGCATGAAAATTCAGTTGAATTTTGTATGTGCACATTAACAGCCGTATTTTGCTGTGATTTAAAAATTACATTGCAATCTATATTAAACTATACAGTAAATAATGAACTTTAAAACATAAGCTATTGTACTTATCTGTTGAACACATCATCCGACACCACTGTTACATCTCTTGTTTTTCAGTTTTAAAAGATGTATTACAGTGAAAAGTTCATGCTGCTCAGTGAGGTCCAACAATGAGAGCAGTGTTACATGGAGTTGAGAAACACGAGGACAGTCCGCAGGCTCACAGTATGCAATATGCATGCAGGGGACACTGAGAAGTGTACACATGAGAATCACAGTGATGTGTGTTGTCTTTCAAGGGTCTGACAAAAAGAAATATGTGACCCACTCGTATAACAGATTCATGATGTATGAGTAATAAACAACGTCTATGCTTTTATTCCATTTCAATTGTGTATTCATTTCACTGATTAAAAAAAGGATGAGCAAAAATAAATCCTAAGCAGTCTTGAGCTCTCATGACTCTCACCATAAACACTAACAAATATTGTTGACAAAAATCATGGTTTTGTTTGTTCTCTTGCAGCATGCCTATGTGACTCAGATTAACAGATTACAGACAAATTCTGCAAAATGACTACAGACATCACCGGTCGTCTTCCACTCAATGTCTATGTCATCATTCTTGGGATTGGCCTCTTCATCTTCATGTTGAGCATGATCTTCTGTTGCTACCTGTTCAGGTATCTTAAACTATGTAGCAGTTACAATGAAAGTGCTGTGGATATTTACACAAAATGAAGATAAATAGCTGTATTAAGCATCACATAGCAATTGTATTTATGTAGCATTTTATTTCATAGACAATGGTAATTTATAGTCCTTTCCAAAGGCATTATAAAGAAAGTAAAAATATAATAAAAGTCCATTTAAAATGATGAAAAAGGAAAAACAGAAATTATGAAATTTAAAACAAAGGGAAAAAACTTAATAAGATGAATGCATTAATACAGTGCAAGTACAGTACATCAAACTGCTGTAGTGAAAGAATGTGAAGGAAAACAGATCATTTTTTTAATGTATGTAATGCTACATTTTTATATTTCACAGATTGAGGCGACAGGGCACACAAGAACAATATGGATATAATGAGGTAATTTATAATATATATATATATATATATACACACACACACACACACACACATATATATATATATATATACATACACGCACATGCATATACTAATTATATATATTATTATTCATATAATATTTTCTTCTTACAGGTCATTCTAAAAGGTCCAGGGAAAAAATTGAGTCTTCTTGGAGTAAGAAACTGCCAAAACTATACCTTTAGTTCACCCAAACGTAAAACTCTGACATTTCTATAATTTACTCACCCTCATGTCATTTCAAACCTGTATGACTTACTTTCTTCCGTAGAACACAAAACAATTTAGGCTGAATATCCAAGCTGATTTTTCCCCCTTATTTAATAAACGTAAAACAGGACTATCCATCAACTCTCATATTCCTTATATGAAAAAAGCAGCTTGAACATTCTGCTGCATCATTTATTTATTTTTTGTTCCAGCAAGGTTTGGGATGACAGAGTGAGTAAGAATTTTTTTTAGCTAACTATCTACATTATTGTATTAACAATGTTTGGAGCTATCACAGTTGTTTAAATTATAAAATATAAATAATTAAATAAAATATAAATAAATTAGAAAATTAGACAGTCTCTGGCTGTCTCTGTTTTTTTCATCCATTCTCTTTCACTCTGCAGCAGACCTGTGCAGTTTGCCTGGAAGAGTTTCGGAGCCGGGATGAACTAGGGGTTTGCCCATGTTCTCATGCGTTTCACAAAAAGTAAGATCTTTTACCATCTTGTCACATTTCTCATTATGTTTCTGTATTCTGAAAATAAAACATTAGGATGCTGTAAACACTGATTGATGCTTTACAATGTGAACATTTAAAACAACACATTCCTTCAAAAACATTCAAGCATGTAGATTCCTGACACACAGAATATTGTTAGAGGCACTAAAACAAGAACCACACATTAAGCTGTCAAGGCACTGCAACTTAAATATGAGTATTAGCCTTGAATAACACCTGTCAGATTTTCGTTATTTAAAAACATCCTGCAGTTTCAGCCTGTCATTGTCTTGTGACGTGGCCATAAAGCACTTGAGTCTATAGATAGCTGATGCATAACAAAACCCTCTCTCCTCTTTTCACTTTGTCTCCTGCTCAGGTGTCTGGTGAAGTGGCTGGAAATTCGCAGCGTCTGCCCCATGTGCAACAAGCCCATCTGCAGGCTCCAGCCAGATCCTCCGCAGGGGGCCGAGGGGCCCCAGAACCCCCTGGAGGTGTGACAGAAGAGGGACGTCGCTGCTCAGAGATAGGCAGGCTCACATACACCTAAGAACAGCGTTAAAAAACACCACACTACTGGGGCGGGCAGGCGGACTAGTCCCAAATACACAACAATCGCCCCTGTCCACCAATCACCAGATTTCTCCTGCATAGATGGGGGGAGGGAGGGGAAGCGGGATTTTCCCAGTGCAACTGAACTGATGTGCCGTATTCTTGGCCATAATGTGGCTTGCAGCAAGATAAATTGATGCCTTGTGGACTCCAAACAGACAAATATTCAGACCAGGACAGTTGCACAAAACATGAGGTCTGAGTTGACACTGTGGAATATGTGTGAATTTACAGAAGTCCTCCTCTAAGAGAGACTGTGGTCACTATTACTACCATAAAGAGTCATGTTTAGGAAGGCCCAGTTACAGAATCCAAAGTGAGGAGCAGCTCAGTGACCTGAGTCCTGACCTTAAGGATCAGTGAGCTCATGCGATTATACTCTTGCCAATATTTTAACATTTGACACTCATAAATGTGTTTGTTTAGAGTCACGGAAGTGTTCTGAGTGCTAAAGGGAGCTCATGGTCTTGATGAGAACCCACGCTGTAATTCAGAAGCTTCAGAGTCAGATTGGATGAAATTTGGCCTAATTTGAGTTAAGGTGGATGTTTTGTACTGTACATTGCTCTCAATAAAATGTAAAGTTTCTGTGATGGAACCAGTTTTTGTGTTAATTCACGTAAAATAATTTCAATTTCCATATATAGATAACTTATTTACTTTAGAACACCAAGGAATAGCAATATTAGCAATTTATTGTTAGCAATAAATTGCAAATGACTCATTTGAAGATATGATCAACATGTTTAAATGAAGTCTATGCATATAATGTATATGTATATATATATATTGTATACACACACACACACACACACACACACTATTGTTCAAAAATGTGGGGTAAGATTTTTTTTAAGAAATCAATACTTTATTTAGCAAGGATGCTTATAAAATAGAACAAAAGTGGCTGTTAATGCAATTATGTTATAAAAGATTTCTGTTGAAAATAAATACTGTTCTTTCTTTTAAACTTCATATTCATCAAATAATCCTGAAAAAAATGTATCACTGTTTCCAAAAAAAATAATAACCAGCATGACATTGATAACAAAAATGCAAAAAAGATTACGCAATTACGCAAATAAGCATATTACAATTATTTCTGAAGGATCATGTGACACTGAAGAGTAATGGCTGCTGAAAATTCAGCTTCGTCATCACAAGAATAAATTACCTTTTAAAATATAGTAAATTAGAAAACTTTTATTATGAATTTAATAATATTTCACAGTATTACTGTTTTTTACTGCATTTTCTGATCAAACAAGTAATGCTTTGGTGAGCCTATAAGGGACTTCTTTCAAAAACATTTAAAAAATATCTGTTCGTATATGACAACTGGTCGTGTTCAGAGGGAACAGTACTACACTGAAGATACCTTTCTAACCCTAGAAATGACCTGTTGGTGTAACCTAATGTCCTCAGGTTGATTCAGCATTTTACTGTGTACATTTCCCTTTAAATCCCATCCTCCATGACTCAATGCAAAGCAACTAATAGGAACTCATAACTTAATTATCTTGTTTGAATTGCTCTGAATTTCATATTTGTTGTGCTTATTCTTAGTCCAATAGTCTACAAAACACAGTGATGACAGTCTTGTTATTCTAAAAGCTACACTGATGAGCTTCCATAATCTTTCTGACCCATTGTGAACTTGCTAGAAGCAGCTGAGGAACACAGGGAGATTTTCTCCGAGTGATGGACAAGCATATTATTGTTCTTTGTAAAGGGGGGGGGATAATATTTCTGAGCTGTACAGACTGACTTAACATATGGTGAATATCTGTTACTTGAGGATATCTGACACTTTGCCAGGATAAAATAGTGAAAGAGGCCACTAAAAGTGATAATATACACAAGACTAACTTCACAGCTATGTCAAGACATTAGCATTTTATATGCATAATTACTGGCTTTGCTTTATGGACTGTAAGCACACATTAGTATGTACTTACAATGCTATGATTTACACTAGCTAGATCAGTGAGCTAACTGCATGTTACACTGACTCACACAGCTGTGAAGCACTTTCTGGTGCTCAAACTGAACACTGAACACTGTGAGTCCCTCTGACTGGCTGTGGATATTCAAAATAGAACCTTCTCTCTTCATAAATACTTAAGAGGGGATTTTTATCTCATCAAGGAGGAAATGAAGGAATATACTTCACTAAGTGATTAAATTAGATCTTGTTTGTGTAGTAAAATGAATTAAAGCAAATTAAAACAAATTACCTTTAGTAACAGATGGTGTACTTGCGTGTTTTCTTGGGCGTAGCCTACATTACTCTTTTTGTTTTCATTTGCTTACGACGTTTTACAATTAAAAGCAGCGAAAATGCATTCACGAACGCTGAAAAGAGTAAACTGAGCACCACCTGGAGGTCAGAATCATGCCTGATAATATATCAGTCAGCAAACCTTCATCAAATTTCTAAAGCATTTATCAAATAAATAAAAAAGACCTGTAGAAATATATGGAAAGAATGAAAAATCAGACAGAAAATTAAGTATTTGTTTGTGTTTATTTTTAGAAGGAACCAATCTTCTGAACAAAAAGAAATGAGAATCAAAATTTTTTTCTAAAAAATTACTTTCACAATAACCACAAAACGATTTGCCGATCTACGAAACCACAAAACAATCTATGTCACTCACGTACTGATATAGCCTAATTACAACATAACATGAAAACAGTTACTGTACGACAAAAAGAATGTTGCCACAAAACTGGTAAATTTGTATTTCTTATGTCATCCAAAACAAACAAAACTAAAGATGCCCCGTTCGCTGTTTGAAGAAGATCCTAATGTTTTAGTGACCTTGGTAGTTTGCGGTGTTTTTATATGGACGGTAGATGGCGATATTTATCATAAAGTAATATAAACGTACTGCAGCATAACTAACACGAATAAGAAGGACTATCGCAATATCCACATTTTAGGTAAAACCTAATCGCTAATCGAGTATTTCCACAGATGAAGTCTATATAAAGTGTATTTTTTAGATGTGTCTTATTTATATGGGTTGAATTAAGATGAGTGTCTTGAGCCAAGTGAGATGCTGTAATCTCAAACCTCTCAGCTGCATTGCTGCATCCCAATTTTTAACAGCGAAATTTACTGGGTTGCATAGTGATTTTAGTATTAAATCAGATGAAAATTTAAAAGAAGGAAGTAACAAATTGTGTAAGAATATGCATTGTGTTTTATCTGACAGCAGGACCATGGGGGGCCATGATGCTGGGAGCCAACACCAGTTCACAGGGTTTGCCAAATATTTTAATTCATACACCATTACAGGAAGAAGGAATGTGAGTATTTATTAATTAGCGTGTTGCAGATTATTGATACAGCTGTATTTTCAATATCCCACATATAGTCTAACACTTCTCTGGAAATTGCTGTATTTTAAAACCAACAAGTTTCCTTATACAAAATCTGTAAACTACTGTATATGTAGTGGTGGTTTGAAAATAAAGTCCAGTTATTTTGTATGTCACGGCCAGCATACATAGCATACTTAAAATATATTTTGGTTCCAGTGTGTTCTGGCCACTTATGCTGGCATTGCTGTCATTTTTCTGTACTTCAAACTGAAACCTAAGAAAAAGAAGGCAGTTGCTGCAAAGTGATAATGAAAATGATTTGTGAGTAGCCAAATACAATTACACACACATACATACACACATATAATTACAAATTATATATACAGTACATACACATTACACATACTCATTTTTGTAACCAAGCAGCTTGCTTGTATAATTTGTTATGATAATAATTATAAATTATTAACTAAATGTGTCCATTTTGTTTAATGACAAAAGTTATGTAGTTTTTTTCATTTGTTTCTCTCCAGGTTCTTTGCTGTTGTTATTATCATGCAGTGCATATCTTTATAAAAAAAGCAATATCTGAATGTTAAAGCAACAACAACTCTGTAACACTGTTATGATTAAACAGTGCTGCTAAAACAACAGTTTTTTTTTTTGCCTTTTTTGCATTTTATGAAATCTGAAACATATTTCAGATTATTTAAATCTGTTAATATGTACATTGCATCAAATGAATGTACAATACTTATAAAAAAAGAAAACAACGTGCATATGTAATATTACATTTATTTTACATTTATATTATTATAGATTCTTTTGTCTAACTGACTAGCTACAATAAGACGTTGCTTCATTGACCAGTTAAGATTAAACATAGCTAGAAGGGAAAAAAGGTTCAAATAGGCATGAAATTACAAGCACCTTGCTTGACCTAATTACAGTGACTAGCCTCATCTCACCAGATGCCCTATTTTGATGGTGTTGGTGGGGTGGGGGTGAAATTCTCATCTTCTGTGGGGGTGAGTGTTTACACAATATGCCTCACTTTTCTGAATGGCCTCATTGGTCAATATGATTTTTCTATAAATTTGATCAAAACATATCTTTAAACGTCTGTGTTTGAAGTCTGCAAACCTCAAACTGTTCTCCAGATAGAAGTGAAACTTAGCTTAGCATTGTCTTCTTCTCAGTGGTTGTTTGTTTGATGAACACAATGAATGAACACAACAGTGTATACTCGTAGCTCAGAGGTCATAATGTCATACAGATGAATTTTTGGAAGAGCATACTGATAAACTTAATAATATTAGTTTTCATCAGCAGTATCATCAGCAGACTCATTCTCTGTTTTAGGCCTGTGGTTTGGCTGTTAAGTAGGAGTTTAATCATCGCAATAGATTGTCACTTTTCCTTGTGTTTGGAGGATTACACATTCGATTTTTAAGAACATTTTCTCCTTTGGAATCAATGGTAACTGCTTCACGCTTTAAATGAAAATCAGATTTACTAAATCCTGGCTTAAGCTGTTAAACTGATAATAGACCTTCTCACTTTCCCCTCTTCAAGACTGAGTAAATCTTTAATCTGCTCAACACTGTCTCAGAGTTACAGGACTAGCTTGTAACATATGGCCTTTTTGCATAGGACAGCCTCCGTCTCCAGACAAGCCCATCATGTGAATGAGTGAAAAACAAGGCTGTTCTACATGTCTGGACCAAGCCCTTTAAACAAGACAAGCAGCAGCTGGCCAGCCATGCCAATCTGCAATCGACTAGCTTGTAACATATGGCCTTTTTGCATAGGACAGCCTCCGTCTCCAGACAAAGCCCATCATGTGAATGAGTGAAAAACAAGGCTGTTCTACATGTCTGGACCAAGCCCTTTAAACAAGACAAGCAGCAGCTGGCCAGCCATGCCAATCTGCAATCAATGAAATCAAACCAGTGGATTGGGTTTATATGCCCAATTGAACAGCAAAATGACCTGACAGCATGAGCTTATATGGCTTGAACCTTTTTGTACACAAAACTGATGTACTGATATATGTATTTAGAGCACATATTTAGCATTGAATGCTACTTCGTGCTTGTAGGAAAATACTAAAAGAGAAATACTGTATTTTAATAAAATTATTTTACTTAATGTATTTAATTCATAATGCGGTATAATTAATATTATATTGTGCATTTTATTTTTATTTATACTGGATAAAGCTGCAAAATAATTTTTGGTTAAATTAATCTAAAAACATTAAATATGTCTTTAATATTAATTAAGAAAAATCTTCCCACTGAACCATTAAATGTAGCAACGATGATGAGTTTATTGCTCAGCAGGCTTTTGGGTGAAACTGTGACTCTACCCGTTTTATTTGATTCGCATTGGACAGATTGAGATAGACAGCTTGTCGAAGACTTCTGTCTGTTTCAGTCCCACTGAGACACTTAAATCAATTATTTATTGTTCTAGAAATGTTTTTCATATGGTGTTGTCATTAGTTTAAAATCCAATATACTAAACTAAACATACAAACTTAATTTTTTGTTTAAGTTTATATATAGTCGTTTATATACAATATAGGTTTTATTATATTAACTAATATATTCAATTTGTTTTAATTTATTTTTTATTATCATTTAATATTAAATTAGCTAAATATAATATTATGCATATGCTTAAATGTAATTGTAATATGATCATAATATAAGTATTTAATGTCTAACTTACATTATTAATTTATAGTATAAAATATAATAATATATGTTTAATATAATTTAATAAAAATCTATATCTATCTATCTATCTATCTATCTATATAATTTATAATCATTTTATAATATTTTAACGTCACTATTTATTACAACTAACATACAGTATATATTTATATACATTTTGAGAGCTAGAATCTAATGGCAAAATCAAATGCAAACAATGTTCTTGTCTAAGAGATGCAAAGACATCATGTTAGCTTAAAGATGCATGCACTTTTAATTAAGTAAATGTCCTTGTCATCCACCCCTGGTTGATGCAGTGGCCCTGGCCAGATGGTAAGTTATCTATGTTTGTAACGCATGGTTTCAGTGATAGACCAGCCAAAGTTAATTGGAATGTCATTAAAGTTTGAGTTAATGGGGGTTGGGCTGGGGAGCTAGTTTGAGTGCTCTAGTCCTGCTGTTGGATATGTGTGTTTCATTAATAATAATAGATGTTTGGATGAAGCAATAAGGGTGGGACTCCACCTGCTGCCACCTGTTAATACTCTATATAAGCATCAGTCATCCTTATGGCAGAGCAGAAGCACTACTATCTGGATTTACTTCACTACATGGACAACAAGAGGAACATTGCGTCTGAGGAAATTTTCCACCTCAGAGGATCCGTTTACAAGACCACCGTTGGCCTTTGAGGACCTTTGGCCCAGGAGTCATGAAGCCCCGCAGCCCGAGCTGTGCAGATTCAGGGTCGGAGTCGGACTCCAGAGACCCAGAGAAGTTTGAGAGTGCCATGCGGCGGAGGATGGCGGCCAACGCTCGAGAGAGGAAGAGGATGCAGGGCCTGAACACCGCATTCGACCGCCTCCGCAAAGTGGTTCCTCAGTGGGGTCAGGACAAGAAACTCTCCAAATATGAGACGCTGCAGATGGCCCTGAGCTACATTATGGCCCTCAACCGAATCCTGACTGATGCCAGCAGACACTCAGCTCCTCAGAAAGACTGGCTGAATCTACAGTTTGACGGCCTACAGCCAGAGACCTATTCTTGCTTTATGCGCTATAACTCCCCTGTGGAAAATGACTGTATGCACTCCTCCTTCTCCTATCACTACGAAAGCCTCTAAGCTTTCACTGACTGATAAGCAATGGTGCGTTCACTTGTATCTTTCTTAACATAGATACACCAGTCAGTAAATGTGTTTGTATTATTGTGTAATATTTTATGTTTTTGGTTTTGGAAATCAAATGATTAGCTTTATTAGAGTCTGACTCATTCTAGAAGTAGAGTTGCTTTAATTGTTGCAAAAAAGGACATGTTTTCTGTGCAACTGTAGAAAATCTTTCATCAGATGTTGTAAACGATGACTCGATAAAATCACATTTGTAAATTCATCTTTAAGTCAAATGTTTACATTTTGTCATTGCTTTGTATCAAATCTTTGTGTATAGTGTGTTCAATCAAAGCTGCAAAAGCATTCAAAAAATACACTGATCTTATTTGGCCAAAATGGCATCCTAAATTGTTGTTCCATTTTTTTTTTTTGTTATTTGGTACTAAAAAAAGGAAAAAGAATATAGCCGTCTAATGACAATAATAATAACAACTATACAATGTTTTGTACAGTAGGTGAAGTGTTTTGAGCTGTAGTTTATCCTGTGATTAAACATGTATTTGTTTATAATGCAGTTAATCAGTACAAAAATAAACACAAAGACTTTTGAATCAGTTTAATTTTTACTTCATTTTAAACATTTCTTTCATTTTACATATTAAATATGATTTTATTAATTCTTTTTAAATAATTGTATAAAAAAAGTATTTTATAAAAGCAATCTCACTGTAAAATATAAAAATAAAACACCTTTGAATAGTAAATATTGGGAGAAAAGTCTTACTTTAATATTACTGTACTTTTAGCCTTTTAATTTTAGAGTAACACTTTAAGAGTAACACTTTAAGGAACACCTTTTAGAGTAACACTGCACACTAGACAGATAAACACATTTCAGTGAAGGCCTCTGTGTCCCAAGATAAGACAGCACCAAACAAATGACAGTTCAGTGAAGGTAGCCTATAAATAATGTTTAAAGGACTGAATGACGTCACGGTTGAATTGCACTGTTTACAAAGACACTTTATAAGAGGAAAGAAAATTAGATAACATTTATATTTAAATAATCAAATATTCAAATCATTTTATTTTGGTTTGCCTCATATTTTAAATCAACAAAAGGTCCAGCATTCAGAGTTTAAGATCACCAGGGGAAAGAAGACAACGTATATGTTCAAACTTGACTAGGGCAGTCCTCATAGCCACTCCTAATAAAGAGAGGAGATTAAACTCTTTGCTGTCCAATGACTGTGTATAACGTTTCTTTTCAGCGCTAATGAGGCGTGAACGGCCAGTGCTCGACCGAAAGCGTGTAGGCTACATGACGCTAGAAACACCCATCTTAATCCGTTTAGCCTCAGCTGTCATTATGACCATCCGATCACTATCAACTAATCTCAGTCAAAGACACTTCCTTGCATTTTGTTACTAATAACCGCTTAAGGTCAAGACATTGTTAATTTTATTTTCAACAAAAATCTTTCATCGTGCAACCATAATAAATCTCGTAAAACATTTGAATGAGAAACAATTCCCATGGTGCTAGTCTACAGGTCTCATGTTTCCTTGCCATTTATAAACTCCCGAGGTGCCACAGGGGAGTGCTAGGGGATCTCGGAAAATTCTCAAATGAAAAACAAACAAACAAAAAAACATTAACAATGCAGCTATTTTTATATTTCCCCTACTTGCAAAAAAACGTATCTTTAAATAACAGTCTTTGTCTTTATATGCAGATATTATATATTATTATATTATATATATAATATATA